GTGACTATTTTGGAGTGGAAGTTCTTCAACCATTATTGTACTTACATTTTTATATATTATGAAGGTGGTTTCATAGTCTTTTCTCTCTAAGTACCAATTGTTTGTGCATATTGGATACCTTGCTATAAACTGTGACATTAGAAATTGACTATATAATTAGTAAATAATATGAACGCCAAGCAAGGGTGTGCTCAAAGGAACAAACATTAGATAAATTGGGCTGCCTGGTCCGAGTTGAATATCGTTTTTACAAACCATAATTGCTGACATTATGAGGATGAATCCCTAGTTGAAATGCAAATCCTGGACGTCAGTTCTGAATTATCGAATGGAAAACACGATGTGGAGACTAATATTTGAAGCTATAAGAATGAAATGTGTGACTTGAGCATGAATGAATCATTGTTCTTACAAATGACTCCATGAATGTATAATATTATACACTTGTTATGACTTCTATGAGCACTTTCAAATACTCCATTCAAATTTTGAGTATTTGTCATAATCATTTCAAATTATTTCATGTGCTCTACTCTAATGTATTAAAGAGTTTCCTTTGAGTTTTGTCTCACTATTGTCCATTTCATCTCCAAGTATAATGGTAGCATAGGGCAAGCATGTGAATCAAGAGCTAAGCAGTAGGGATCCTAATGGATTTTGAGAGGATCCATGATTTGTTGGGCATCTGGGTGGGTGATTTAGTTTACGAGTCATTGAGTAGCTTTTTGATGGACCGGTCGATTTGATTAGGAGGGAATTAAGAAGTTTCTCTAATCAAGAAGGAGCTATTTAGAAATATTCTTAATCAAAGGAGATTAATTGGGAGATGTTTTCTTATTGAAGAGAGCATATTTGAGGGCTGATTTAGGAGCTGATTTAGAGGAGATTAATTAGAAAATATTTCCTAATTGAAGAGGGCATATTTGAGGGGCTGATTTGTGGGTTGATTTGTGCGGAAAATAATTAAGGAAATAAAAGGGAATTGGGGGAGAGCTGTTTGGCTATTTGTTGTTTATTGTTTGCTTTAAGTAGAGTGTTTTTCGTAGGGTTAGGGTTATGTGTTGTTTGCTGAAATTAGATTGTTCATAGGGTGTTTGGGCTCTAGCCGGCAGTTAGAAATTTGAGAGAGGCGGATCTTCTTCTCCAATCGAAGATCCACTTGTATATTGTCTTTTCTTTCATAAAACTTTCATTAAAAAAAATGTTCTTGTGTGTTCTATTCTTGGTTTTCCTGTCGTTGGTTTTTTTAAATTGCTAAAATCAAATTTCAGCCAAGGCTTTTCCTAAATTTCTGCAAGTACTTCCTATCAAATTGGTATATGAGCACTTTTTTGGAAACTATGGCAGTAAGGAAAGTTGATGCCTTGGCAGAAAGTCTTAAAGGAAATGTTGACCAACTCAAATCGGCGTTTGAGGACATAATGTTATCAATGGAGGAAAAGTTTTCTAACCTAGAAAGAATGATAAACAAGCTGTTGGATATTCACTTCAAAGGACATTATCAACATCAACGACATTCAATTTTTGTCAAGCAGAACTATCAACAAAGGATGAACAAATTTGCTGGAGTAGTTGAATCTGATGCAAAGTTTTGCTTAATAAATCTTGCTTATACCGGGCAAGATTCCAAATTCGATGTAGTTTCTCAATCTCAAGTGAACAAGAATTTAATGACCTCACCTATGGAGATTCTTGTTCCTGCTAGCTCAACATTGCCAGTTACATTGACAGATGACATGAATGTGATTTTGGAGCCACTTCTAATGAGGGGAAATGGTGAAGGATTGAAATTTTTGGTGGAGCTACAGATCTTGGATGGCGAAGAAGATAGGGAGAAGATTCAATCACTCATACAGCAGTATCGAGAGGTGTTCCAGCCAGTTTAGGGGTTGACTCCTCCGTAGGAACACGAGCATGCTATCATCTTGAAGTAAGTTGTTTCACCTATCAATGTCTGTCCATACCGTTATCCCCAAATCCAAAAGGATGAGATTGAGGGATTGATCTTGGAGATGCTAAAGGTAGGGACCATTCACCTAATGTCAATCCAGTGCTATTAGTCTAGTGCTTAAGTAGCAATTTCCTTTGTTCCACCATGAGGACAAGGTGACACTTTGGGAGGGGAGTATTGATGGACCGGTCGATTTGATTGGGAGGGAATTAGGTAGTTTCCTAATCAAGAGTGAGCTATTTAGGGATCATTCACCTAATGTCAACCCAGTGCTATTAGTCAAGTGCTTCAGTAGCAATTTTCTTTGTTCCACCATGAGGACGAGGTGATACTTTGGGAGGGGAGTATTGATGGACCGATCGATTTGATTGGGAGGGAATTAGGTAGTTTCCTAATCAAGAGTAATTGGGAGGGAATTAGGTAGTTTCCTAATCAAGAGTGAGCTATTTAGGAATGTTCTTAATCAATTGGGATTAATTATGAGATGTTTTCTAATTGAAGAGAGTATATTTGGGGGCTGATTTAGAGGGAGATTAATTAGGAATATTTTTCTAATTGAAGGGTTTAGATTTGATAAGCTTATTTGGGGGGCTGATTTGGGAGAAAAATAATTAAGGAAATAAGAGGGAATTGGAGGAGGGTTGTTTGTGTATTTGTTATTTATTGTTTGCTTTAAGTAAGGTGTTTTTCCTAGGGTTATGGTTATATGTTGTTTACTGAAATTAGATTGTTCTTAGGGTGTTTGGGCTCTAGCAAGCAGCTAGAGATTTGAGAGAGCGGGATCTTCCTCTCTAATTGAAGATCCACTTGTATCTTGTCCTTTCTTTCATAAAACTTTCAATAAAAAATGTTCTTGTGTGTCCTATTCTTGATTTTCTTGTCATTGGTTTTTTGAAATTGCTAAAATTAGATTTCAGCCAAGACTTTTCCTAAATTTATGCAAGCGCTTCCTATCATTTTATTGACAGGATACCAAGTTGGTTTTGGGAATATGGATTATCATGACCTAGAGACATAATGTCTGACTTTCTTTTCAATTATGAAGCTTTTAATTAGCTTTTTATATCTGAGATTTTGATTGGTATAACCAAATACTTTAAATGGATTCATGTTTAGCCAAACAGGTTTTGGAATGATCGGATTAACCAAGTCAAGTTAGTTGGATCATATTCGATTCTATTTATATTTTCTAGGTTAGGGATTCCAATGTCTTAAACCAAGTTAGGCTAGTTGGGAGAGATTGTTTTTCTCTCTCCTTATGCCTGAGCATTTTGGTCATTAATGATGAGCATCTGGTTGTGACATCAAAGTCCTGAATTGAATGTAAAGTACTTTAGCTTTCTCCACAAGGAAAGGTATTTATAGTGGTGTGGATTACTAGTTTGTGACTTTTGAAGATATGGATGATAGATGGGGGAGACACTTCATATCCAAGGTTCACATTGGATGAAAATGCTTGGGGGTGTCTTAGTCCTTTGGTTGATTTGAGGGTTTAGGGGCAATACATACCATGTCTAAGATTAGTGCTTGATCATTGTAGCCCTAGGGTAATTGATGGATGGATGAATTCCTTAGACCTTGAGAGTGTTTTTGGACATGTTTATTAGTTGGTGGATTTGTGTTGATGGCTTTGAGATTGGCACTGATCTCCCCTTAGGCTTTCACTTAAGTGCTTTTATGGATCTTATGATGATTCAATAGTGTATATTCAGAAAGACCATGATCTTGTTTTGCCACCATTACTTAAAAATCATAAGCATGAAACTTGGTGCCTTGATTAACCAATTTGGATTAATCCAGAATTAAATACTTTTTTTGGGATGTATCTGATGCAGCTGGCAGCAGCAGTCCAGCTACCTAGGTGGAGCCTAGAACCTCCTTTATCACCTATAGGAGGAGGCTTTGGGAGGAAACTCTTTGGGAAAGGGGGGAACTTTTTGGGAAAGATGTAAGGGGCATTTATTAGAGGATTTGAGCCGTTTAAGGAGGGAGATTATGGAGGGTTAGGGTTTTTATGTTATGTTTTTGAATTTTTGTAGCAGTTTTTGTGAGTTGTTTGGGTTCCTAGTAGCTACGAGGAATTATGGGAGAGACGATTCTCCTATCAGACAATGAATCAAGTTGTATCTTGCCTTGCTTTGTTTGGAAATTAGTAAAAAAAGCTCTTTGTGTTATTTCTGGGTCTATTTGGAATAAGTTGCCATTTTTTTTATATTATTGTGTACTGTTTTGATTATCAATTCCTATCAGTATCACACCTTATTCTATATGATAGTATTTCATTTAACAATCAACCAAACATTGCCATCATCATCATCATTAGTCTCATCCCAACTTTTTGAGGAAGTTTTGATTAGAATGACTGTCTTAGTTGATGATGTTTTGTTTCAGGAGCTATAGCTAACGTGCTTAACATTTGTATATTATTGTGACCTTGAACCACTCTCTACATCGTGCCACAAAAATATTGAGTGCTGGCCTTATTTCATGTAACATGCAATTTTGGTCTCTAGTGAAAATTGAATAGATGTTTAAAGTCAGATAGGTGAGCTATTTGTTTTTCATTAAAGTAGGTCCTTTTACGGGTACATGCGATAGTGTCCATTTTGTATCTATTAAGGCTAAGTTGGGAATCAAATAGAACTTGTTCTTTTCAATGATCAAAATTCTCTTCATGCATCCAGGTGCAGTGGTTTAGAAACATGATTTGTCTCTTGAAGTTTTGAGGACGATGGAATGTTAATGCTATATTCTCCTTGTAGTTGCAAGTTATAAGTAAACATTTTTTGGTGTTACATAGCCTTCTATTCTTGGTTTAAGAACAAGAATTTTAACGCTGCTATTCTATTTTCTGTTTATCAAACAAGCAGACAAGCTTTTTATTACATAGTAAGTTTTTTCTGGGTACTTTGTGTGCTTTGTTTAGTGTACCTCGTTGTTACTGATATTTTGAAACTAAAGATAGAAGTAGCAGGATTTGTCTTTTTGCCACTCGTTTATTTTATTATTGAATCTAAACATTGTTTTGCTGTAAACTTTTGATATGCAGCATCATTCAAAGAATAAGAAATGCTTTGTTTGTAACACACCGACGCTGGGTATCTTCAATACAGCTCAAGAGATACGAAAGAAGATGGCACAAGAAAAGAAATAATTATGGTACTTACATATCACCATTTTCCATAATTATTCGTCATGTTTTTATATATTTTTCTTTGTTTTATGATGTTGAGTTAGACCAGCATGATGTAGCCTATAAATGTACTTACGGTTAAATGAAAATCAGGTGGGGTTGAATACATCTCTAAATGGTTTACAATTGCTCCATGAATTTCATTCTATTTGTTCCCTAATTTCTGCATTTAGTTGTATGAAATTGTATACTTTTCATTTCCTATGGGATGGTTTCACTCACCTTGTGCGTAAGTAATGAAGTGGATCTCCCATCACAAAAGTGAATCTACCTTTGCCTTTTCTTTCCTTCACTCTTGAGAACTTGACTCTTAATAGGATACAATGGAGAAAAAAGATTCATGTAGTCAATCCGGGATAAATGCTTGATAATGATGATGTTGTTGTTTTTCCTTCACTCATCTTTAGTGCTTTTAAATTTGTGCATTGAATACTTTTTTTTTGGCATTCGGCACCTAGAGTTACCTTTATTAGTAATTTTTTCAATGTTATTAATGGATGCTTGAGTGTTATTCCGGTGTTTGTTTAAGGACTCATATTTTTAATTATGTTTTTAGGAAAAAAAAAATTTGTACCACTTTTCTTTATGTGAACAAACTCATGCCTGCTTTCTTTGTTTTAATGTCAAGACACCTTTTGTCGTAGGCATGTTTATTATCTTGTTAGAAATATTTGTATCTTTTACGTGTAGCACTTTTTTAATTATTTTATCTCAAGCGTACCTCACATGATTTCCTTACTAGGTTGAATTATCTCTTTACCCTTTCGTTTAATCGTATGGTTCCTTTTTTATCAATTATTTTTATATTGGGTAGACAAATAGGAATTTAAAAAGAACCATTTGAATTGAGTATTGAATTTTTCCTTAAAAAGGACCATTGTTGCTATCCTTTGTGTATACCCATGATCGCCTTTTCAGGTGTTTTGACAGGTAGCGACTTGGTCATGACGAGAGTCTTTCTTCTCAGGAACAGATACCTCAAAGAACTATCCCAACACTAGAGAGGAACTCGCCCAATGTTATCGATGGGCGCCACTCGCCCACATATGGCAAGGAGCTTGCCCTATGATGGGCGACCATGAAGTTCTTTGCGAAGCAAATGGATCGTTACTCGTCTCAATCAGATTCTTCTCCTCTGAGCCTACCAAACTTAGCCAGAGGAAAGCATCTATCTCAGGGGATCCCCACTCCATTCGGCCACCACTACCAACCTCAGAGACTCCTTACCCCCGCAAACACCACTGCTTGTCTTTCATGACAAGGCGACCTCGAGCTTCCTACGCCATTCACTGACCTAATCAAATGATTCTATGATGCAATCAAAATTTAGGAAAACTAAGATTGCAAATAACTATACGCCTTCCTTTCAAAATAACTTTAACAAATAAAATAGGATAAAACACTACTTATATGAGAACGGAAAACACATACAAACAAACACAATCTTAGAACATAAAAACACCTAAAAACTTTTCATTGATTGAGAAGAAAGATACAATGGAATGTTAACTTGTGGAGAGAAGAAATAGATTAGAAGTTCCGAGACTAAATAATAGAGGGGAAAGGGAAACGAGGCTAGCTCGCAAGCTAGAACAAAATCCGCAGGTTTTCTTTTCCAAAAATCACTAAATTTTCACTCTTAAAACATCCATAAACTCCTCTATAAATAGGATAGAAAAGGGAGGCCAAAAGCCATGCTCAACTGCCCACACTACCAACCAAAAAAGGCAGCATTTAAAGCACGTTTGGACCCCCACCCGAATAGCCACAGCAAGGGAACCGGGGTCCGAGACAGCCAAGAACAGGAACCGAACAGCCAGCAAGGGAACCGGGAAAGCAAGGAACGGGAACCAAACAGCCAGCAAGGGGAACCGAGAAAGTAGGGAGCAGAACCGAAGAGCCCAGAAAGGGAAACCGGGGAAAGCAGGTAGCAAAAGCAGAAATCGAACAACCCAGCAAAGGCTAGGGAGGGGGTGGCCATGCTTACACTTATGGGCTTGCCCGATTGTTGACTCTACCCTCCTATAATCATTCAAGAGGCGACGCATGTCCTAGATTAACATGCTGCATTGTATGGGTATTCTTGTAGCATGTATTTTTATTTTTCTCTATGTAATTTCCTGTAATCCTTTAAACTCTATAAACAAGGGTAATGAGGAACAGTTTGAGACTTTGTATCTTTGATATGTTCTGATTGAAATAGTGAAGATTCTACCAGCCAACTCTCCTCTCTACTCTTTCTATATTTTCCATTCTCACTAACAGGTTTTCAACTCACTGATAAGATTTGATGACCAAAACAGCACTCAACAATATTAAAAAATAGCTAATTTACTTTAAATATATCCAGAAATAGCACCAAGGGGCTGTAATTACCAATCTCCAAGCAAAGGAAGACAATATATAAGTTGACTCATTGTTCGAGAGGTGAATCATCTCTCCCACAATTTTGTTCTAGAGGTGAATCGTCTCTCCCACAATTCCTAACAGCCACTAGGAACCCAAAAACTCCCACAAAAATGGTTGTAGCAAATAAAATTAAAACATAAACCCTAACCCCCATAATTTCCCCTCTTAAATAGCTCAAAATCCTCTAATAAATGTCCCTTACATCTTTCCCAAAGAGTTCCTCCAAATCCTCTTCTCCTATAGGCGATAAAGGAGGTCATGGGCCCCACATGGGCACTTGCGTTGTTGCCCACCTTGGCAGCTATGTTGCCAACTGCTGCATCAATACTCTCATTCCAAAAAGTCACCTTGTCCTCATGGTGGAAAGAGGAAAATTGCTTCTGGATGTTATTGTAGGGCTCCCATGTCACCTCATACTCTAATTAATCATTCCACTTGATCAGCACCTCCTTGATCCCTTATCTCCTTTGTGCACCCCTTTCATCTCCACTGGTTCTAATAGCATCTCCATATCCTCTGACAGTGTGGCCGATAGTGCAGGCGAGGGTGTGTGGTTTCCAATGGCTTGTCTCAGTTGCAATACATGAAATACGAGATAGATGGCTACGGTCGATGACAACCTTAGGCGATGTGCTACTGCGTCAATGCGCTCCACTACCTCATAAGGTCCAAAGTAACGAGAAGGAGGCTTCTCATTCCTTCGTCAAGCCAAAGTCTTCTATCTGTACGGTTGGATCTTCAGATAAACCCTATCCCCTACCTCAAACTGCGTGTTTCTCTTGTGTCAATCTACCTGCTTTTTTATGATTTACTGTGCTCTCTATAAATGTTCCTTCAATTCTACTAAAATCCGATCACTTTCTCCCAAGTTCTGCTCCACTGATGATACTGGTGTGTTGCCATGCTCATAATTTATTAAATGAGGGGGATCCTTCCCATATATGATTAAATGTTGTATGGGCTGTTGTATGATATGAAGTTTTATAGCAATATTCCCCCCAGGCTAACCACTTAGCCCATATCTTTAGTGTTTCTGATACAAAGCAACAAAGATAAGTCTCCACACTGCAATTTATCACCTCCTTTTGGCCATCCATTTGAGGGTGGCATGCTGTGTTCCACTTCAAGATAATCTCTTACATCTTGAATAACTCTCTCCATAAGTGGCTCAAAAAGACCTTGTCCTGAACTCCTGATCGGACATAATGGCTTCAGGTATGCCATGTAAACGAACCACCTCTTTAATGAATGCGGCTGCCACCGACACCGCGGTGCATGGGTGACATAAGGGAATGAAATGAGCATATTTGCTCAATCTGTCTACCAACACTATGATCACATTGAACCCAACACTATGATCACATTGAACCCTTCCGATCTAGGTAGTCCTTCAATGAAGTCCATAATCACCTCTTCCCACATCTTCTCGGGTAATGTCCAAGGCTATAGAAGACCACCTGGAGCGATAGTCATGTATTTATCTCTGGCAAATATCACAATTTTCCACCAACTCCTCATCATCCTTCTGGATGCCCACTAAGTATAGCTCCACTACCAGTCTATGATGTATTCTGAACTCTTGAATATCTCCTAATAGTTGTGCCATAAAACTCCTGCAACAAGAGAGGGATGTGTGGCGTTGTCCTCGATAGCACAAACCATCCCTGGTATAGCAGCTTCTAACCCATCAAAGAGTAACTAGGATGGCTATCCTTGTCATGTAGTAAGTGTTTCCGATCTTATTCAGCTCTTCATCTTGCTCGCTCTCACGCTTCAAGGCCTCCCAATCCACCACCATGGGAATAGATAGAGTTATAACCCGAGGGTCTTCACTACGCCTAGAGAGAGCACCTGTAGCTTTATTTTTCAGCCCAGGCTTGTACTAAATCTCGAAGGCATAACCCAACAACTTGGAAAGCCACCGCTGATGCTCCTTTGTAACCATCCTTTGCTCTAACAGGAACTTAAACTCCTTTGGTCTGTTCTGACTATGAAGTGTCATCCCAATAGGTAAGGTTGTCATCTATTGCCAACACTATCACCATTAACTCCCTTTCATATATTGATTTCAGCCGCACCCTAGCGGTCAATACTTGGCTGAAAAGCTATAGGCCTCTATGTAATGCCTAGAATCAAATTTAGAAGAATTATGTATTTTATCTTTTTATAAATATATCAGAGCTTCTATAAATCATCAATATAAATAATAACCAGCGAAAGCAACCAACAATTACATACCTCAAAATATTGCATTATATACATCCCCCCAAAGCGAGTTATGGAGCATAGATTGCGGCGTGATACTAATGTTTCTCAAAATCAATTTGGATTCATGCCGGGTAGGTCGACTATGAAAGCCATACATTTATTAAGAGGTTTGATGGAGAAATATAGAGAAAATAAGGAGGATCTACATATGATATTTATTGATTTAGAAAAAGCATATGATAAAGTTCCAAGAGAAGTGCTATGGAGAGTTCTTAGAAAGAAAGGAGTCAATAATGTTATATTCAAATCATTAAAGATATGTATGCAGAGCTATTACTTGTGTTCAAACACAAGGTGGATTGTCCAAGTATTTCCATTTCGGTTGGGTTTACATCAAGGATCAGCCTTAAGCCCATATCTTTTTGCTTTAGTCATGGATGTTCTCACTAGACATTTGCAAGAGGATGTACCTTGGTGTATGCTTTTTGCTGATGATATTCTTCTTGTTGATAAGACTAGAGAGGGAGTTGAAGGTAAACTTGAGTTATGGAGGTCAACCTTAGAGTCTAAAGGTTTTTCTTGAGTAGATCTAAAACGGAGTATATGGAGTGTAATTTTAGTAGTAATAGACCTAGTGATGGGATTGTGACTTTGGACGATCAAGTCATTAATAAGAGTACACGTTTTACGATATCTTGGATCTATTGTTCAGAGTGATGGTGAAATAGATGGGGATATTCAATCAACAGAATTCAAATAAGGATAAAGACGAATGAGCATATTAACGTGGAAACGGTTGGAGTAGCTCCAGTGTAGAAGATAAGATTAGAGAGAGTCGCCTTAGATGGTTTTGGTCACATAAAACGGCGGCTTCCGATGACCCGGTTAGGAGAGTAGAGGTATTAGATTTTGACTTATGTTAGAAACGGTAGGGGTAAGTGACCTACAAAAGACATTGGTTAGAAAATATTAGGAATGACCTTTCTTTATTAGATTTAAACAAGAATTTGACTTTTAATAGGACACAATGGAGAAAAAGGATTCATGTAGCCGACCCCACGTAGTGGGATAAAGGATTGATGTTGTTGTTATTGTTGTTGTTGTTGTATACATTCTCCCAAAATCAATTTATAATATTCAGGAGATCAGTACAATCACTAATATATCACAATCTCATAAATACAAAAGAATAAAAAAAATGCAGAACAAAATCTAAATAAAACTCGAGGATCTCTATCAACCTCACTCCAATTGATCATGACCCATTCCATAATCTGAAATCATAAAAATTCATATAATGAGCTAAAAAATCAAGCAGAAAATCAAAACTCTATCATTATTTTCAATACAAGGTAATATAATGAATATGTATGTTTCAGTTCTAGTCAATATCAATCATCAGTTTACATAAACAATAATAATTTTAAAAAATTAATAATAAAATTAATATGTTCAGTGAAGTCAAAAGACACACGATAAAGAGTATTATCACCTAACGAATCATATTAGTATGTTGTATCAATATTAATGCCAGTATGAGTTATCAATCTGTAAATCAGTTTAATATAATATCAAGTAAATATCATCATGAGTATAATTATGAAAAGCAAGACATGACATTTAGTTTTTAATATGATATTTTCTTCTATACATCCATTATATTCATAGCTCTTAATCTGTCAATTTTCACAGGTGGCTTTTAATAATCATTTAAGAGATGTTACCCTCTACCCGAAGTTGAGCATTTTGAGTGAAATTAACATTTTGAGAACGCTGAAACTCACCTCTTCCAGAGACAACAACCTTGAAGCAAAGATTTTACTGGCAGAAATTACAAGATGTTTTAAGGATTTCCACTAGAGAGCCGGGGTGAAAAGAAAGGCCTTCCAAAGAGTACAGAAAGCGTTAAACCACCAATAGTTTAAAAGAGAGTTTCCAAAAAGAAATGTCGAAGTCCTTTTAATCTTGCAAAGATGAATTAAGATGTTAGGAGAAAAAAAATACCAAGACGCCCCGTCACTTTAGGTCAAGTACAGAGCTTCGAGGCAAAATTTGCAATTTTTTTTAGGATTGTGGTCAAAGAGGAATGTATTAGCCATACTCTTATCTTTTTAAAAGCTATTTTTGAAGGGAAGAGAGCATACTATAAGCAGTCAATGAATCAGCTTGGCTGATTAATTGTAATGGGTCTGTAAAGATTATTAGTGCAGCACTCTGCAATGATACAAGATAGATCTTCCATGTTTGTCTTAAACTAGAGTTAGAATTGATATAGTCACATAACTAATTGATGACCGAAAGGAACATATGTAATAAAGGAAGAAGTCTTTTTAAAAAAGATTAGGGGAAAGCCAATAATGTAGTGCTCAACTTGCTGCTGCTATTGCTTTACCACATGTGGGAAAATCTTCCATCCATTAATCAGAAAATCAAGTAACTACAGGAAGTTTTGGGTGAAATTAAAGACAAATCTACTGTTTCCATTAATCAGAAAATCAGGTAACCACAGGAAGTTTTGGGTGAAATTAAAGACAAATCTACTTTAAACAGTAGATCAGAGGAAAAAAACACAGCAGAACACCGAATGGGCTAAGGATTACTACTGTTTATAGTTATAGAAACTTGAAAACAGAGGGATAGTCTTTTACAACAGGAAATCTAACTGGAGGCACCATTGTTTTGATTCATAGATCATAAGAGATCCGATAAAAGAAATTCTCACATCCTTTAGCATCCATTTTAGCCTATCATTTCTAGCTTACGACATTACAATAAGAGGTCAGCTGTTTAGCAACAATACTCATTTGCCACTATAACTATTTCAGTGTCTTATCATAGCTATTGTTAGATTAAGTTTTTGTTTGGGATAGCTTTTTCATTGCTTTCTAAAACAGTTTTTAGGTAAAAAAGTGCTAATTCAAGAAATTTTTAACTAAAACACTGTTTTAGAAAGCATTAAGAAAGCTGTCTCAAACAAATCCGAAATGTTTAAACATCAATTTATGTTTATGTAAAACTGCTTTTTTGTTACAATTAATATCCTGTTTGGAATTTCCTAACACACACAAGTATAGAAGTATCCCATGCCTCCTTCCACCAAAGATTATCTTTTTTTGTCATCAAGACTTCAAATCACATTTATGCTAATGGCACAATGATTGTTGATATCTTGAATTACATAATTAGGATGAATGCTTCAAGAAATTATTTTGTCGTATGCCCTTTTGTTCAACTAATTAAGATGCGGATTTCACCATATTTCAAGTTATAATGATATCTGAATATATTTGTGTTTTTATTTGAATTCTTTGTATATTATGTATCTGTGTAATATTATTGTGCATTGCAAATGAAACTTGAAGTATTGATTCTTGCTTTTTGAATTCTCTGTACATCATGTATATATTAAAGAGAGAGACAAAGCCTACCATCCTTTCCATGGGATTTCTTTTATGAAAATATAGCTGAAAAATGAGTGAAAAAATATATATTGATGTAAAAATATCAAGTGATCTCAACTATAAATTTAACTTTTTGAGTTAAAAGTGAATTTAATCACTAATTATGAGGTTCAACGTTGATTCCCTTCTGAATTACACCACCTAGCAAGAGATATCATAGTTGATTTTTTAGCTATGATTGAGAGGTTCATAAATTTATGGTCCCTGTGAGTCTTAGCCTTTTCATTACGGTTGAGCAAGGTTCAATTCTCAATGATGCTTTTATTGCATGATATTTATTGATATTTTTATTTTAGGATGAGTGATGACTAATGTGGAAAGCTCTTTTGTGAGAGGAAGGTTTCAAGACATAAGAGGCTTTATGTTTAGTCCTCTATCAAATAGCTAAAAATAAATAAAATTAGTGCAGAAATATCATATGGTTGCCCCACATCCTTAAGTTTAAGCTTTAAGCCTGAATATAAGTTTGAGTGCTAGTATATCTCCTAAATTTGGCCTATGTTTTGTTCATTCTCTTGACAAATTGTATCAGAGTTGATCATGTATGCATTTTGCGACACATGAATTTTGGCACCCCCACTATTGTTGAGCAAAGTCAAGAGCTGGTGATTTCCATGATAAAACCTCGTGGTTGAGTGGACTCTTAGTGCATGATGCTTCCATTCGAGGGGGAGTGATGACCAAAGTAGAAAGCTTACTTGAGGGAAGATTGTTAAGGTCCATGAATATTTTTGAGTTTAGTCTCACATGGACTTAAAAATTAATTTGGTGCAAAAATATCAAATAATTGACCATCGGCAATTACCTTAATCTTTTGCGTTGAATATGAGTTAGACATTGATGTACAACTTTGGTTCATCCTCACTAGCACATGACATCCTTAAATACTAAGGAACATGTAAAAATAGATGCATATATGTACATAAGGGTGTCAAAACGAACTAATGGGTCAAGTTTATGTTCGACTTGAAATTGATTCAACTTGAATCCCTTCAACTCGAAACGACCCATTTAATAAATTGGTACAAAATGTGGACATGAACAAAACTCGCTAACAACCTTAATAACTCAAAACTAACACGTTAACCCATTTTGATTATTTTTTTTACAATATGTTAATTGATTTAAAAAAAAAGGAGATCATACTAGTAAGCAAATTTAAAGAAATAAATTTAATAAATTGGTCAAAAATATGGACATGAACAAAACTCGCTGACAATCCAAATAACTCAAACCTAACACGTTAACCCATTTTGATTATTATTTTTATAATATGTTAATTGATTAAAAAAATAAGTAGATCATACTAATAAGCAAACGAATTTAAGGAAATAAATTTAACGTGTGACCTTAGGGTCAAAATTGGGTTCGTGAGCCAACTTGAATCTGATCTATTTATTAAAACGGGTCAACTTTTTGGATCCAAATCCGATCCATCTATTCAATAGGTCAACCGAAGCTTATTTTTTATGTCTGGTCCAGGTTGGGTTGTTGGGTTGTGTCATTCATTGACACCATTATATATTGTACATTATGGATGCAAATCTAAATGCTTAAAAAGTAAATGTATACGCTCCCAAATCTAAATGCTTAAAAAGTAAATGTATACGCTCCAACTAAACCTACATTGTAATATATATTTTGTTTTTTTATTATTTTTAT